TTTAGCTATTGTGTAAGGGATGTTAACCATAATCTTTTATTTCGCTTATGCACTTAGAATTTTTGTATACATTTTCTTTTTAATTTCTGGGACTGTTACAATTAATCTTTTCCGCAGCTTCTCCTTTGCATCTTTCAGCTTCTTAAACTTTAGAGGAGTTAAACCTACTAAAATGTATCTCCATCTCCAAACAATTCAAAGTGTGAATTCTCGCAATCCATGAAGCTGAAAAATATCCAAATTGTTTGAAAGGTAGAGATTTTAGGCAAGGAGAAGCCTAAGGGGTAAGGAAAGGGGAACCAGCCGCTATTACTAGGTTACTCAATCTTCTGGTTCTTGACCTTTCACCTGTGGATTTGTCATCTTCAGATTCTAAATCTTTGTTTATTTCTTGCTTGATTCTAAATCCTTAATCCTTCTTTAGATTTAATTAAATTTAAAAGTATCAAACTAAAGATTTCAATTATCTGACCAACTCAAGAAAGACTAAAAAGCATGTGCTATATTCTAAAATCTATTATGTAATGAAAAGTTCTACTGTAATTAAAATAGTAGAACGATACCCGCACACGCGCACACGCACACGCACACGCGTAGTAGTCACGTTAAATTTAAATACATAAAATTAATTATTTTTAAGTGCTATTTTATTTTTTAATTTTCAAGCATTTATTTTTAAAAAATTTAGACATTTATATATGTTTTTAAAAAAATTAATAGTAACTCATAGTTTTACATAAAATAATATATAATAATAACAACATAAATTTAAAATATTAAAGAAAAATTTAATTTTTTTTGTATTGTTTATTTTTATTTAATTTAATACCTACTTATATGTATATATTTTTTAAAAATTTAATCTAGTATCTCTCTATTATTAGCTGATAATACTATTAATTTATATAAAATTTGACGCGTTATAACTTCTGATTAATCCAAAAAATGCTACGTCTTCCACAGAAAAAAAAAAGATACTTTAAAAAATCTAACCAATCATATACTTCGATGCTCTATATCTAGCTATTAAATTATGCTTGATTTACCCTAAAATAATATTAAAATAAAATAAACTAAATTAAAAGAATTTTAACTGTTTAGTGCAGAAATTCATATTTTTTAAGCTTAAGTTTATTTTTTATTCAAATTTTTTAAATCATTATTTTGGAATACCAGAATTCAAAAGATTACTTCTCATATCTGAGGTGAGAAGAAAGTCTTTTTGATTATTTTTGAAAACTAAATATTAAAAAGTTGAAAAAAAGAAGTTTTTTTTTTTTTTTAAAAAGAAAAATTTAAACTTCTTTATTTAAGATTGTTTTGTTTTAATATCATTCAAGTATTCTTTTAGATACGAAAGTAAACTGTTTAACTTTTTATAATTTTTCATTTCTAAAAGGAATTTCGGCATAAAATAATTAAATCTAGTAGAGGTTTTCAATCAATCCCACCTTATAGCTCCAGACTTTTCTTCTGTTTATTTTGCTTTTAATCTTAAATATAAAATTAAGAAGTAGGCAAGACCATATGTATGTGTCTGCATTCTTTTGCCTCTATACATATGTATATGCATGTGTTTATATATTCGTACTTATTCTTGTACGTCATATGTTTATTTATTGAAAGTACTAAATTTAAAATCGAAGCTTATAATTGAAAAGTTAATGAATTATTGTATTCGTTAATCCTTTAATATTTTTCTTTTAATTTAGTCAATAAAAAACGAGAGTCTATATGAACATAATAATTAAAGAATTTTTTAGTTGTTATTAATCATTTCTACAATTTATGTAACGGCCCCGGAAATTTAAATGAAATGTATGTATTAGAAATCTCAAATGCGGAAGCATAATAAAAATTTTGATTAATATCCCTTACACAATAACCAAAACGTACTCAAAACATGAAGGAACAAACTAACTAAAATAGATACTCGAAATAAGAACTATAAATATAACTATGAAATCTTTAGGCATCCCCTTCGTCGTTTTCCTGCGGAACGGGCTCAGGACCAACGTCTTCCTGATCTGAAATGGTTAAATAAGGAATGAGCTACACCAGCCCAGTAAATATATCACACT